TGCGATCTCATTGTTGGCTACTTAGCCAAGAGAAAATCATGACTATGCATCTGTACACGATCTTGATGCTTTGCCTTATGCCTAGATGTCCATGTTGCTTTGCAGCTAGCTCTAATTGCAACTAGATTGCAATGATGAAACAGGAGGAGAATACACGATCGTTTGTACACCGCGATCGTATGCATGCCGCGTTCTTTGTGCGCCTTGATCGTCTATATAGCTTCCCAGCATGCTCAGGCTCAAATCGCGACTATATCGCGTAGCCACGATCTCGTCGTCATTCAACCCGATTTGCTATCCTTGTTCTTCTCAGAAGAGTGGTGATCCTCTCCTATAAGCTGATATCCCTTTTTATCCCTAGATTTGATATTAACTTGATAGGATTGTTCGAAGAAATTAGGGAAAAATAAACATTTTATTTCTCTAAATCAAACAATACAACCACAAACATATAAAATAAATGATAAACACCTATAATTCGAGAGGTTATGCGATCTCTCACAATTTCTACAATTCGAGAGGTATAAAATCTCTTCCGACCGCTAAACCTAAAGACTCAAGACAATAATCTCATGCATGACCCTAACCCTAAACATATTTTCCTTATTTATACTAAATAATGATAAATAAAAGAAATTAATTTGCCCCAAAGTGCACAAAAGATAAACTTGCTCTTAGGCTGGACACCGGCATAACAGTCTTATTTTTCTTTCAGTGCCTGCTATTATACCTAATGTAAATTTGGAAATTGTTAGTTTAGGACATTTTCTTTATTTCATATCGCAACAACACTTCCTCAGTGATGGTAAGTGATGGTATTTCCCAATAAAAATCAATTTTGTTTAAGCCTAAACAATGAGAGGTTCTAGTTCTAGTATTTATCATTTCTCTGTACTCATTCAGTACTTAACATTCATTGTACATTCTTTGTCAATCAAAATGGTTGTCATTTCCATTTTTTTGTCAGGAAAAGTCTTAGCTTTTATTCTCCTATCCAAGGTGCCCATGTAAACTCTGAACTTCCCTTGAAGACAAACTCTTAAGTTTTTTTTTCCCATCAAAGCTTGATGTGTCAACTTTAAAATTTCTAGAAATATCTTCATTTATGGCATTTATGACTATCATAATTTTTTTATGTCATACCCATATTATAAGGCTTAGTTCAATGCCTGGTTCCTCAGACAATGTGGATTTGTGTCTAAAACTTTGAATTCGTATGAGCAAATTTGATTAGTTTCTAAAGCCTTATAAGGTGATATATGTCATTTCCCTTTTTTTCTTGTTTTTCTAGCAATTCTTCTAATCCGTTTTGCAAAGTATTTAAAATCTCCTGTTTGGCAATCTTCTTTTAACTCTAATATGATCCTTTGTATTGTGAAAATTCACAGAATAGAACTGTCTAGACAGTCGCACCTTCATGTAGTAGGAAAGTGGGGATACGTAAAGGTGGAAACAATGAGTATGGAATCAGTCAGCAATCGTCACTTGCAACTAAACACATTAAATTATTTGGCTGGTTGCCAAATTAGTGCCACAGGGAGTCAACACTGGTGAGGAATCAATGATAATTTTCAAAGAAAAGTGGAGGAACAAATGTGAACCATATATTAATTCTAGAAGTTATGATTGAACAAAAAATATGAGATTTGGCAATGTGCTAAAATAGGGGATTGAAAATAGCCAAATTTTGGAATCTAATGAGAACTGAATCGAATTAACATACAGTCTAAGCAACAGATCTAAAATGATGAAGGAATCAAAATATTGAGAAAATAACCCGTTCTCATAGTCATCATCGTAGAGAGATTATATCAAATAAATTAGAAAAAATCAAATGACTAAAACAACAAAAATAATCTCAAAACTCATGACCATATGCTTGCCTCAATGCTCCCATCTCATGCTTCCAATTCGCATAACCTTATATTATTGATTAGTATTAAATTTTATTTTGTTATAATAATGGAAACACTTAATTGAGTCATTTAAAACGAGATATCTCCATTTATACTTCTATTAATGACATACTTCAGATATGTAATACTCTTATGAAATATATAAGTTAGTATGGAAATCAATTTTATTAAAGGCGGTAGGCCCTAATTAGTGGCTCACTAGCACAAAGTGAGGTACAAAAAGTTTCATTCATTTTAATCTTTAAAAATAATTTTTGGAGTGTATAATATGATAATCATTGCAATAAAATGTTAAAATGTAGGAAAAAAATTATGTAGGTTTGTAAGTTGTCATTCCAAATAGCAAAATCTTGTCACGGGGATTGTTCAAAGCAATGGTTGGTTAAGGTCAAAATGGATACCAATGTGTGAGATTTTGGTTGTTCAAATTTAATATCTGAAAAAAGGGATTTTTGGGACATAATATAGCACTAAATATGGATAAATAAAATAGAGAAGTGCCTAAGGAATATTCAGCATTCTTGTAATGCTATGGAGACCTAAATTTGAGCTGTATAAAAGCTGTACTAATTATACCGATATACTTAATGGAGTCTAGCTGTTTGCACAGAATTTTATTGAATAAAAATATTATCTGTATTTTAAAAGTAATTATTTGTGTACTTTAAATCCTTGTTTTTTATCCTCGTCTATAAAGGAGGGGAATCTATAGTGAATAAGATAAACAAACTTTATCCTTTAACACTTATGTTAGGGCCATAAGTAATTCACAAATATATTAAGAGGTTGTTTGGTTTGCTAAAAAAGTAATGCATTGTATAATGAATGTAATATAAAAGTAGTGTATTATATTTGAAATATTTTAGAGCTGCTTGATTTACTGTAAATAACTATAGGACTTTATAATTTTTTTGTTTGGTTTGAAGTAAATTGAAAAAAATGTATTTCAAACTATATAAGGAATTATAGATGGGCGACAGGTGGCGGGTGGCATCTGACTGCCAGGACTGATAATTGACGTCGGTGACCAGCTGCAGAGGCAGGTGGCGGTGGCGGGTAGCTGCCTGTCGATAACATTTTACATTAATGAACAATATAAATCTCAAATTCTTCAGAATTCTAGATTCAACCAAGATGAACTAAATGTGTAAACTTCATATTCATTTACTTTACCTTTTATTTGTAATTCTTCGTACCAAACACTTAATTTTCTAAAATCCTTACAAAAGAATTACAGTACGCTACAAATTCTTCCAACCAAACAGCCCCTAAGTGTATTACAATTGAAAAGATTAAGACATTTGTGTGATAAATTTGGAAAATAGAGTGAGATTGAGCATATTAAAGAGATTATACAGTATGACCAATCAGATACATGTAGCAAGAAGCAATAGGTGGGAAAGAAGAGTTCAAACAATCTCAAACTGTGTTGAAGAACCTTGAACATATCCCTAAACTCAACTCAGTTTAGCTATTGACTTGAGGTTTTTGACCCACACTTTGGTTTCGGTCCGGTCACAACTCTATTAACATACACCTACTATTTTTTTTGGTCCGGTCCACGGGTTTCTCTTGCTCAAACCCAACCTAAATTGTAAGTAGGCTGAATTTGGTCATATTTGATTTGATGGCTTCGAGGATGGATTATTGCATAAGCCTGAAGAATGGTCTAATTGGGCCTGTCAAGTCAAGTGGGCGCTCCAGCCTATGCCCATTTCTAGAAATTGAGATAACGGAAAAGGACTTGTTTTTATCGTTTGGGAATGAATGATGGAAGCAAAAAATGCTTAAATAAGATAAAGTGGACAAGTTAGCATGATAGACACATCGATTGTATAGACCAAATTTTATTTGGATAGAAGTTCTATTTTAAAAAAAAACTTTCATAAAGTTGACTTAAATATCTCATATAGCACTGAAGAATATGGGAGGATTCATTAAGCCACCCTTAGATTGTTGGGATTGGGATAAGCCATCAATGATTATGATTATTCCTATGCTCGTAATCTCTCTTTTTTTTCCTGTTGAGATATTGATATGGCTGAGTTACTTCATTGAGGCATTTTAATAATAGTTCCAAACTCAATCTTTTGAACTAAATCCACATGTCGTAGTGTCTCTTCTTGTAGTGTCTCTTCTTTGTGTTGTTATTTGGTTCCCGGCTTCTTCCCCAATTGAAATCCTGTTAGAAATCCTTTCCACCGGATGGGCAAGTAAAATCTGGCCTATACTCCTGGAGTGAAAGAATTTAAAATAGAGACATTTACATACATACTGTCCAATTCCCATGTATTTACATTTCAACAACAACAACAACAACAACAAAGCCTTAATCCTACTACGTGGGGTCGGCTACATGAATCCTTTTTCTCCATTGCGTCCTATTTAGTGTCATATTTTCATTTAGTTCTAGTAAATTAAGATCATTTTTAATACAATAAGCCCAAGTCTTCCTAGGTCTACCTCTGCCTTTCTTAACACAAGTCGAATTTAAAACATCTACTCTCCTAATCGGATCATCTAATGGTCGACGTTTAATATGACCAAACCATCTAAGACGACTTTCTCTAATTTTGTCTGTCACAGGAGCTACACCAACCCTATCACGAATATATTCATTCTGCATTTTTTCTCTAAGTGTAAAGCCACTCATCCACCTAATCATTCTCATCTCGGCAACACTTAACTTATTATTATGCTTCTCTTTTAAAGGCCAATATTCAACGCCATAGAGCTGAATGTCTCTAAGTGTATTTACATTTCTAACCCCTGCAATTTTCTTTTTACATTTATGCCACCCAAATATTTCATTTCAAATAAAAAATACCACTATTTTTAGTTTTAAGAAGTGAAATACACCTTGTCATGCATAAGGTGGCATATATGTAAAAATTGATGCTTATGTGTTAGATATATAAATTAATATGTATGTGATTCTTTCTTCTATTTACGATGAGTCAAGAGATTGATTGCCATTTACTGAAACTTTCTATGAATGAGAATGACAGATGTCGTCATTCCATTAATTCACATTGATTGCTTTCAGCCGTTCTTTTTCGTAAATTTTATGCTTTTGATGCGCAGGTAATGCATGATGCTTTTGGAGTTCGGTTGCATGCTGGTAAACAGGCTGAGGTAACTTTTTTGTATGAAAAACTTCAAATGTTTTAAGTATTTTAAGCCTTCTGTTTCTTGATATTAAAACTAAGATACATATCTCTCAAATCTTATGTATTTACATATCTAACACCTATACTTTAATTTTTACATACTTTCCATATTACCTATGCATGAAAAGGTGTGTTTCAATTTTTAGACGTTAAAATAATGGTATTTTTGCTGTGAAATGAAAGATTTGGATGGTATAAATGTAAACATGAGTGGTATGAATGTAAATGCCCTTAAAATTAATATTATTTGACTGTGTATAAGCACCGGCTCTTAGTTTATGATTTGTTATATTTAAATATCTTATATGGGTGAATCTAACTACTTATAAAATTGTAAAAAAAAAACTGCATTTGCATTCTCTCTTATTCCACACCATAACCTTTTTTTTTATCTGTAAAGAATAATTTGTCTGATAATGATAATTCCACTGGAAAATTAATTTCCTGAAACCTTAAACGAACTGTCGTTTCGAGTTCTTTCAATGGCTATTGATCCCTGATATTGAGTGATGCATGCTTAAATGTTTCAATAACAACTCAATCCATTATATCGCCTATCAAATGCTTGCTACCGAAGTGCTTGGTTTTGGCTGTCTCAAAAAAAAAAAAAAAAAAAAGAAGGGGAAAGAAAGAAGAAATTGGGGCATTTACATACATACCGTGTCCTTATGTGTTTACATATTTAAACCTATAAATTGATGTTTACATGCATACCACACCATTCTATAACATCACATAAAAAATGTCACGACCATCATTTTTTTTGAAAGTGAAATACACATTTCCATGCTTGGGCTTAAGAGACCAAGACATTATAAGCGTAAATATTAAACTTTGGGTATTAAATATGTAAATTCATAAGAATTGTCTGGTATGTATGTAAATTTCCCTTTTTTTTTCTTGCTTTAGATCTATAGTGGATGCGAGTCAATTTGTTTACCCTAACCAAAGACCTTATATCGTAGAAAAAATATATAACATTCTGCTCAGTATTTTGCAGGTAATTTGATATTTGCATGTTCATAATTCTCCTGCTGCTTGTGAAATTTCAGGTGTTAAATCAGATTGTCTATGAACTTCCGGCAGAGCATCCTTTGGCTGAAACAAGACCACTTCGAGAACTCCTTGGTCACACTCCAGCCCAGGTTTGCATGATTATTATTTTTTTTTTAAATTTTACGAGGCCAGGCCTTCAATTCAATCTCATACTTTCTTCACAATTTCATACTCATAGATTTCTGTAATTATATCTAGCCACCAAATCCTTACAAACTTATTTAAAATTGGCCTATGCAGTTCTGCATTGTTATATTTTGATCCTTCCTAAGTCCCGAGTTTGCTGAAGTTTTCTCAGTCAATATTTTTCTTCATATTGATTATGATCATATTATGATTTTGTTTGGTTTAGAATTGGAATTTGAAAAGCAATAAAATTGAAGCGAACATCGCGGCGATGTATATGTTCATTATTGAATTTTCTGATAAAAAATAGGTTCTAGCACACAATTCTTATGTAATTACATATCTCACGCCTAAACTCTCATATTTACACGCATGACACTGAATTTTTTAATATCACATAAAAATAGTACTATTATCACTCATCCCTTGTTTTTACATATATATCACCTTACCTATGCATCAAAAAGTGTATTCCAGTTTTTAAAATTATAAAAAAAGTCATATTTTTTATGCAATCTGAAAGATTTGAGTGATATAAATATAAAACCTAAAAGCTTAGGCATTACATATGTAAATATATACGAATTCGGTGGTATATCTGCAATGATAGTTCCATTAACATTCTCCCTAATCCCATGATATTTCTTTCAGGTTGTTGCCGGCGCAATTCTGGGAATCATTACTGCTGTAATCTCTAACCTCATTAAACTTTCTGCAAGTTGATGCTGATAAAAAAAAAATTCCTGGCTCTGCCTAATTGCTAACACCTTCTTTAACTAAATCCAAAGACAATACTATAATGTTCGTAAGAGCATTAATAACAAAATTTATGAGTGGTGGCATTTGTATTATTTCATTGATATTAGCTGCATGTAATTTCAAACTTTAGTTATTTGATTGTGATTTGGTGTAGCTATGTCTCAGTCCTTGGTCATGCGTTTATATTTTCAATTGTTTCTTTAAATTAATTGTAGTGATATAGGACCAATAATTCTTAAAGCGACTATAGTTATTTAAAAGGGAACATATATATCACACAAATTTTATGTATTCACATATCTAACATCCAAAATTTTATATTTGCTCTTATATGGTGTCATAAATTTATGCATGAGAAGTGTATTTTACTTTTAGAAAGTTGGTGATGATGATATTTTTATGTGAAAGTCTTGAGTATTTTTTTTTTTTTGTAAATATGAATGTCTAGTTGTTACATATGTAAATAAATGAGAATTGTGTGGTATATGTGTAAATGCTATTTAAAAATATTAATTTTTTGGTGAATATTGAGAGTTATCTTAGCTTCTTTGACAGTCAGAGTGATTGACTTTATTTATTGTCAATGCTTACTTTTATAAGAGTGTTTGTGTAGACTTTGCTATAATTTTATGTTGGATTTTTTTTTTCTATGATTAACACAAATTAAAGAAGGATGCTAAGTAGATATAAAAATCTAGTGGAAGAAAATATGTATATATCTATATATATAAGATCATGTTTAGTAGTTTTTTTGTAAGAGCAATTGATGTGATATGCTGCAGCACACCAAAATGATGCATTGCGTTCGACTTTAGAAAAATGGTTCTTATTAATCTCTGTTATTGTGTAGAGAAGATTTATAGATTTTGTAGATAATTATTTATTGGCATTATCAATCCTTTAATTCTCTGTCTATTTTTTTCTATATTTTTTGCTATGTAATGCAATAATATTGATGTTGTTTGATTCACATATAGGGGAAGTAAATTTATCTAATTACAAACACAATAGTGGTTGGTTCTATTAAGGTTTTAATGAAGGTTTGTGAGAACAATGTTTGTATCAAGTTTGGTCAATTGTAGAAAGAGACTTGATTTGTATTTGAATATTCTTTGAATCAAATTTGAACTTGTTTGATCAACACTCAAATGAAATTGATAATGTTTGGGATAATTTTCTACCTATTTTGTTTTTCAGACCGCCACCACAGTTTTGTTTGAAGTAGTTCTTTCTCATTGTTTTTTAGAAATTTCTGTGGTAAAAAGTTATTTTTTTAAATCTAAAATGTTAAATTGTGGTCTGATTTTCTGAAAATAAAATAAATTTGTAATATTCATTATAGTTTTTTAACAAATAAAATTTTCTTCAGCAGTTATACAGTTGCTTCTTCAAACAGTTTCAGCTTCTCCAAATAGACCCTAAAATTAGGCTAGAACATTTTTAGAGCCATATCCGAGTAAAATTTGAATATCTTTTATCAACCATCAAAGGGAGTATTTGTTTATTCTTGCTTGAACCATTTGTTTGGTTCTACATTACATTTTTATTAAAATGGATAATCATTTTCAAAGAAAAAAAAAAAAAAAAAACTTCTTAAGTAATAAGAATTGTTAATTTTGGGTGTCGAAATTTGACTTGACCGAAACCTGACTCGAACAATTTAGTTTCGAGTTGAACCAATTATTATTTGGGAGTGGTGCAATTCAAAATTAGAGAAATTATTATTTTGATTGGGTTCAAGTTTACTCAAATAACTTAAATAGCCAAAACTAGCTCGTTTATTATTTGAGTGTTGGTTAAGTAAATTTGGATCAAGTTAATTGTGTTAAGTAGTCATGTTTGCTTTATTAGATCATGTTGATTTAAACAATATACATGAAACATAAAAATATTTTAGATGGGTCAAATTCAGTTTAGTCATCATATGATCAAAAAAATTTATCATGCAATAAAAGGTGAGTTTCGGGTCTAGCATATTGGGATTTGGTTAGCTTTGAGTCAAACCTAAATCCTATCAATTAGCTTGAATTGATACCCTAATAATCATGGTTTTAAAAATCAGATTGAATCGGTCGATGCGACTAATTCAACTGTGAACTTATCATTCAGACGATTTAGTCCAAGTTTAGAATCGTTTTACATGTATAAAATTAGGATTGAACCAGTTAGAATTAGGGTTGAACTTGTTAGAACCGGGGTTGAACCGTTTCAATTGAATCTATCGACTCAAATATTATCCAATTTTAGCCTTTTGAATTTGATGGGATGACCAAATAAAATATTATGTCAAAAATTTTTAATTTAGAATGTTATTTGAAACAATCAATAATGTAATCTTAAATTAAAATATTATTTGTCAGATTAATATAAATGATATTAATATATCAATCTTTTATTATTTAAATTATACTAAAATAATTTAAATATTTATTATGACATCCGGTTAAACTTTTAGTTCAATGCCCGATCTGATTTTCACAGCCTTGCTAATAATTAAAGAATTCTTTTAATTATATGCCCATGAAATTTAAATATTTAAAATATTTACTCATATGTGTTGAAATTTGATTTAACAACTTCCTAACTACTAACAATCATTGTTATCTACTTGATCTAGGGGACGAATAAATCTTGGGAGAACCGAACCCTGTGATTATGCCTCGTTATTAATTTCTACACAAATTTATTTCCTTTAATGAATTTTCTTCTTATTTCCTTATATCTAATTAGGTTCATTTCTATTATGAGAGTATTTATGCATGTACTTTGTTGTTTTTGTAACATTAGCTTCTTTTTTTTGTATTTTGGAGAATTATTCTCACATGTCAATGTGTTTGGAGTGTTGTGGACTCTTCATTTTGCAAGTGATTTATTTGTAAATTGCCTAGAAATAAGTGGTGAATCTCTCTCCATGATTGTACTTCATCATGTCATAGTTTAATCATTAGTTTCAGTTCAAACAACTGTTGAACTGCTCAATCATGTTGTCTAACAACAGATTTTAGCCATTAAATGCCAATTTTTCTCTTTCAAATGACATTGACCTCATACATTATCACTATATGACTATTCCATAATCACCTCCCTACTAAATCCACCTCTCAACACCTTTTAGCTATTCTAAAATAGTATCATTTGATTTTAGAGTCTAACAAGTGCTAATTGGTTAATGGTTTGTTCTTCTTACACCTAAACTAAATGAAGCCAAACTTAACACCCCCTACTAAAAAAACGTATCCCAACATCATCCATCTAGTTATAACCCTAACCCAAATCATTTTTTTAAGCAAATTTTTATTGGAAGAATGAGATGTTATACTGCCAAAGAGAAGCCCTTAATGGGTTGTTTAGGATCTCACTAAAGAAGAAATGCAAAGGGAAATATTTCAATTGTAGTAAAGGCTTGTTGCATTTGAGAGAAGAAAATATGATGAGGTTCTATAACCACAAAGTAACTCGGAAAATCAATGAGGAAGTAAATCCTTCCTTCCAAGAAGCTTTGAGTGATGAAGAATCAATGTCACATCAGTTTGTAATTGAATATCATAGGAGATGCTAAAAATTTAAAATAAATGTGGATTTACCAGACTTTAATGATGGTATGGTTGTAGATGAATTCATTGAGAGAATCCAAACAGTAGAACAATTTTTTTAGTACAAAGGTGTTCTTGAAGACAAAAAAGTTAAATTGGGAGTCATCAAACTCAAGAAGAATGCTTCTATATAGTGAGAGAATCTGAAGCATCTTTGACAGTGCGAAAGAAAGAGTAAAGATTAACACATGGTCTGAGATTAATAGAGAGATGCGACACAAATATTTTTCCCAGCATTATAGCAATGTGTGTTCATAAAACTCAATAACATGTACTAGAGACTCTACTGTGAAGGAGAACACAATTAACTCTATCAAATTGTGTTGAATATGCGTTGGTGGAATTAGAGAAGCATACGGTGGCGAGGAATATTAGAAGGCTGAAGCTATCTATTAGTAATGTGGCGAAACTATTACCGTATTAGCGTATACTTGATAGCTTTGAATGTGAAAAAATAACAACATCACCAATTGGTTGTTATAACTTTTACAAGGAAAGTTTAATATTAGGATTGGACTATAGGAGCACACTTAGTGGAGATCATCCTCGCATGAGGAGAAACTAATATAGAATGGATAAAATGTGGAAACCACTAAAACTCTCAAATTCTTCCCAAACAAGAAATTTGTAAAGTGTCACATCTTTGGACACGTTACACCTGGTTTCCCAAAGAGGGTGGTAATATCTTTCACGGAGCAGAGAATAGACAAAGGAGCACTAGAAAAAGGATATGACACAAATGAGGAGCACCAACTTCTAATTAGCAGAAGAGAGAGATGTTAATAATCCAATGAGTCATTCAGATTAAGCCCACAACAAAGCAATAGTGTTTATGCCATAACATATTATGTATACATTGCATCGTTAAAAGAAAGGTGTGCAACTTTATTATATGCCGAGATAGTTGTGAAAATATAACATCTACACAAATGTTGGACAAATTGAGTCTCATTTCTGACAAAATATTATCAGTCATATTCTTTGATTTGATTGAAGAAATATATTAAGATCAATGTTTAAAGGAGATGACTTGTCGGGTTTCTTTTGGATGTGTTTCTATAGTAAGTGTGGTGTGACGTGGTATCTATGGCGTGTCTTGTCCTATCAGGTCACTCTTGACAAATTGATCATTGCACACATTATGATGGCTAAAAGAACATGTTCTTTCAACTAAGAAATATTGTACTCTTGCCTTAGAAAGAGTTCAAGGTAATTGGCGTTCGTACAAAATTTGAGGATGTAGGTCTCGAACTATATTTTTGCTGGTTATGAGAGAAGCACATCCAGGGCCAACATTGGTTGTTTAAGATGACAATGAGTTTGAAGAGTCAATACCAGCCACAAGAAATCCCATATTAAGTGGATCTTAGGTATGTTTGACCTACAACTTACCTCATAGGTTGGCGCAACTTACGATGGTCATATAATAAGTTATAACTTTAGAAATAAATGAAATGTTTTTAAACTATTTTTGGAAGACAAAATTTGAAATCTCCTTAGGTATTCTATGAGAAAATAAATTGGATAGTGGTATCCAAGTATTTCCAAAAAAGAAGAAGCGTCTCTTAACTTGGGAGGATGACACAAAGCCTTTGAATTGTGGAAGCTGTGATCTCAATCACGGGACATCTGTGATACTGTAGAAGCAACAATTTTCACGATCAAGGAAGAACCAAACCCTTTGATTATGCTACATTATCAATTTTTACACAATTTATTTTTTTACTTTTCTGAATTTTCGCCCTATTTCTTTATTTTTAAAGTAGTGTACCTTCTATTATGAGACAATATATGCATGTATTTTGTCATTCTTAAGAGTTTAGTTTGATTTTATTTATTTTGGTGAATTATTCTCATATTTTCTATTCTCTGGAGTGGTATAGTCTTTTCTTTTTACAAGTGGTTTGTGTGTAGCTTGCCCAAGAACAAGTGATGGATCCCCTGTCGCCCGTACGTTGTTGTTTTGCAGTTAGACAACTATTTTCAGTCCAAACAGCCGTTGAATTGCTCAATCATGTTGTCAAACATCACATTCTAGTTGTTGAACTTCACGTTTTCCCTTCCAAATGTCGATGATCTCACATATTTTCATCTATGCACTATTCCACAACCACCTCCCCTCTAAATCAACTTCTTAATACTTTACAAAAACCCAGAATAGGTAAGAGAGAAAGTTTGAGAGAGAAAAAAACATTAAAGTGAGAAGAATTAAGATTTGATTATAGTGAGATTAAGCTCAAAACGATATTTAGCCTATGTTCTTCTAGTGACCATCTATTTATAGGTTTGGACTGGGTTAAATCTCTACATAAAAAGCTATGTATTGAGTCGCATGGATAAGAAAAGTACAAAATAATGATATTTATTATTTGTTAAAAATATGTAAGGTGTGTAGCTTGATTTTATCATAAAAGTACTTGAACTTGTAGCTAAATTGTTGCGATGAAGTTTTCATTTTTTATTGATGAACTCATCGGCCTATCAAGTAGCTTGTGAGCTTGGGGTGAATGTGCCTTTCTAGTAGGTTTGAGGTAAGTTCGCTTTAGTTATTTAGCATGAGTTCTTGTTAGCTTGTGTGAGACTATGCTAGCTCGAGTAAATTCCTGTCGATTTAGGTAAGTCTATGTTGTTGAATATTTATTGAGTGTGAGAATGTGTATTGGTATACTTAGGAGCGGCCTTCTTACATAGAACCATGCCCAAAATAAAAAGAGAGTAGCATTAATAATTAAAGCTAACACTTTTTACAGGTGTCTCTGAGCTCTCCTGTCGTTGGACATAGCTTATTATACGTTGCATGCAAATAACCTATGTTAAACTTTTGTGTTGCAGCTCAAGTCTATTTTTAGACTTTTACATGTATTTCTATTTAGAGTCTTTAGGGAGTCTATACCAGAAATAAAGTATGGACACAAGTTCCGAAGCACTTGATGCACCGAACCACATGACGAGAACCCGACGCTGCTTGGTTGTGTCATGTACCTTAAGTCTGAATTTTTTATTGTTGTATAGCTTTAAGATTAGACATGTATATGTGGATCCTGACCGCATTTTTCTACTTTCTGGAATATGTTGTCGACCCAGCTTTACTTGTCCTGTCATGTATTTATTTACTTTGGCTTGTTTACATTGCGCTGTGTGCTGAATGTTCTCTTTATTACCGTTGTGGTTTGTCTGGGTTTATTTATAAAAGTGCAATCTAGGTTCATTAAGGACCCAAAATTACTCTATCAAAAATCATAATAATAAAAAAATCGTGATAAATAAAAAAATTTAGAATTAAAATATCTCAATTTTAAAATGAGCATTACTTTATGCTTTGCTTTACCATGTGGCCTTTGGCCGAATTTAAAACGGGATTGCATGGCATGAACGTATCCCAAGTCATCTCTAATAGGACCTCCATTTTTAAATTTTATTGCAAATAACAATATCATTCTGCATTTCTCGAGGAGGAACCCCTGTGCTCCTTCAATCGACCAAGCTAAGCATAAGATATCTAGATGGTTGTCTAGCATGTAATAAGATGTTAGAGGCTCCCCCAACTTAGACGGGGGTGTAAGTCCTTTGTGAGAGCGCTTTAGCTTTGTAATCAGATCTCTCTGTCCTTCCTATTTTAGCAGCATATTCATCATTTAATTGACGAGTATAAGTCCCATTTTCACCTATTCCACTTCTTAGAAGGTCATATGAAATTAGAGGTTTATTTTCTCTCACTTTAGGTCTTTAGGGTTTCCTTGGATGACGCAACTCATGGGTTGTTGACAAGGGAGCTCTGGTCGGGTTGGTTCGACTACCTTCACGATCATGTGAATTTAGAGTCTCCTTAGCTTAGGATGAATGATCCATGGTATCACGACCTGGTTACTTATACTTGCTTAGGGACTCCTCCCCTTTATGTTGACACCTTCTTTGGGTCTTGTCACTCCTTTGACAAATCATTGATATTATCTCATAGACCCTATATGCTTAGGCGCCGCTGCCTGTAGTTGATACGGTGATTTTCCCTGTGCCCTATGACTCGATATAGGCATCGAAAGTATCGAGAATTTCCTGCTTGAGATGATAAAAATCATTTGGTTTCCCAATTAACTGGATATCATAAATAATGTAAGCAAGACTTTTCTTATCATGAGTATTCTTTGACATCCCCCAAGATGCAATTAACCATAGGGATATGTTTTTTTGTGAGTACTTTTGAACCCAAAATAAGCAAAAAACTTGACTCTCTGGTTACATATGTGGCTTATACTTTGTGGATTAAGTTTCATGATGTTTCGATCTGATATCTTTCGGACGTACATTCTTGACCTATCACGCGAGGATTGCCTTCCATAAACCCTTCTTATTTCTTTTTAAAATTTATTTGTCTAACTTTTGACGTATATCTTATTTTTCTAATTACTCACATCTTCGGATCATTTCTAAGATTCAAGATGGAGATTTATTTGAATAAGGGAATCATACGAAAAAAATACAAGCTGACCACTCCGAGTTTAAAAAAAAAAAAGACAAAAAATATTGAACAAAAATGTGGATGTACAACCATATAAAAGTATTTAGATTCAAAAATTATATTGAGTGATATTTGGCCAAATAAAAATGTAAAGGATATTATAGTCCAAATGATACAAATAAAGAACAAAATATGGACAAATTCCTAAACTAACTTGATGGCTTCTAATCGAATTTGCGACCATTTTAGCCGTCAAATTATCAGAATGGCCTCATTTATTAATTTTCACTATTTGGTCTACAAACGAATTTAGTTGATCAAGTGTTTGTTTGAGCTCGAGCTAATGTATTGAGAGGCTTTTGAGTTTATTTTTGAACTTGACCTTGCTCGAGCTCAGCTCCTGGTTCATATAGTGATTATCAAACTAATTAACTAGCAGGCTGTTTAACAAAATAAAAGTGTCACAATTGAGTTGTATACGAGCAACTAGTTGGATAAATTAAACAAGTAGTATTAAATAATGCTCGCTGAGCCTAAAAATAATATTTAAATGATATCATCCTAGAATGAGCTGTTATTGAGTATTAATTGAACCTGTTCATGAGCTTATTCAGAAGTATTAAATGGTATTTTTTTAACACAAATGAATCAAATAACAAGCCGGTTGAGCATGTTCATTTAGAATGCGTTTGGGGCGGCGGTGCCGCTGTGGCGTGCCTCGATTTGTCCCAAACGCGGAATGTGCCCAAGTAGGTGCGGTTGAGCTTCGTCGTTCGGCTTTTTATCCTCTTGCCCTCATTTACTGAAACATTTCCCCTAGTGAAAGAACAAGACACCATGATCTCCTCCTCCGACAACTTCCAATACCTGGTAGTTCTCCTTCTCTTCTTTGTCGCATCTCACACTACCTATTCTCTTCCTCTGCTTCTCGCGAGTTCCTCACGCTAACTAGGGCTTCTTCCTCCTCTTAGCAGTTGTAAGAACTTTTTTTTTTTGCCCGTTGGATGCTTTGGATGAATGTGGCCGAACTACATGCTGAATCAATGTGTCATTGGTAGAGAATATGCGTCTGCATCTTCGTTTTGATGGAACTAACATATGTTGAGCCTCCATTTTAGGACAGCACTTTACTTTTCTATCCTACCAGTTCAAATCTTTTTCAATGCCAAAATAAGCTATCCATCCTTAGCTGTTTCAGGCCTATTAGATCCCCTACTTGACATTTTCCATATTACTGGTTCAAAAATTTGTCTTTGCTTAAATAATTTTTTTGAATGTAACTACTTAGCCAAAAGGATTAAAAATTAATGGGACTTGTGTTGTTTGGTCGTTATAAACTAAAGCTCATTTCACCTGTTTTTAGATGTCATTATTATATGTTGCTGGTTAAAAACTCTCATATAGTCATTTCTTTCTGTTGGAAGACTCATACTTCAAACACTACAAATTCAACTCTTCTCATGACACTATAGACAAGGAAGCATTACTAAATAGGAGCAAAATTGTCATTTTTCCAGAAACAGCTGTCTCACAATTGTTTTCACACAGCAACAGCAACCTGAAAGTCAGCTTCCCCGCAACAGCTTTCTGAGATAGCGCAGCTTCAACTGAAAAACTGAGAAGTTGCACTTGCCCGCCCCAAACAGACCCTTAGTAAGTAAGTACTAGTGAATGTGTTCAAGCTCGTTCGATAGCCAATCAAACGTTCATAAACGAGCTTTAATTGAACCGTGTCAAAAAATAACTTGTCAAAAACTCGGCTTTATTTGCAACTCTATTCATGGACATTCTTATGGTAGCGACATACTACATAATGTTTTGTTAAACACTATGATCGCAGTTAAGGGTTCGTTGGTTGTTAGTTGTCTAACATTTTATTCAAATATATTTCAAATGTAAAACTAAAATCATTATTTTTAAATTTATTTTTAATAGAATTTAAAGAATACCATTGGAATTTGAATTTATTATTACAACATATCACTTAATTCTTATGTTTTTACATATCAAACACCTAAACTTTTCACGCCACTGGCCACAGTTTAAAATGCATGAAATGCGTATTTCATCGTTAAAGAGTTAAAATTTGTTTGAAATTTCGAATTTATAAATAATAAAATTTAAATTATTTTGCATGTAATTTATTTTAAAGTGCAAATGGTAAAATATGTGGCGAGCATGATATCCTCGTGACTCGTGAGTTGTAATTCTGTGATCCGTTCACGATATCCAGATTAAATGTTTTTAGATATTCAATAAAAATAATTAATTGGAAGATTTTCATATTTTATAAACTTTTGAGTGGTTAAATCCTAAAAATCATTTTATAAAAAAAAATTATTAAAATTGATCAAATATTGTAATATTTTATTTGACAACTTATTTCATTATTTGATTTTGTTAGTTCGAATATGAATTTAATATTACATAATAATGATATAATTATGTATAGGCCTAGAAAAACCTTTCGAGCTTCCCAACTGGCAAATTGCTGAATTGCCCTTCTAGCAAGTTGTTGAATTGTCAATCTAATAAATTGTTGAATTGTCTAACTGCCAAATTGATGAATTGGCTTGATGCTAAACAGTTCAGTTGTCGAATTGTTGAATTGCTTAGTTGTTGAACTATTCAGTTATCAAATTGCCCGACTACATATCTGTCGAACTGTCGAATCACCAAACTTTTGAACCGGTAAACTGCTTAATTGTTGAAGTGGTTGGATCGAATCCATCTGTCGAAGTGGTCGAATCAGCTACCTACTGAAGTGATTGATTTGAGTCCACATACTGATTTGATTATATTCATTCCCCTCAAAGGGACAGCCTGACCCACCTGTGTGAGGGCGACTATCAGAGGAGGCCATCATGACTAGTACTGACATGTCAATCCATTATTAAAGACGCAGTCTTATACTTGAGACTATATTCTCATCCAGGCACCAGAGTTGGGCGTCGTCCCGACAACAGTTTGCAATCACATCATGGTCTTTTTATCAGAACATCAGGGAAGGACGTCGTATACTACAAGGTCATATGTATACTATTTTATTGTTTTTTTACATTGTATTTAACTTGGAAGGGAATTTGAGATAAAAGGGAGTTGCAATAGCAGATTGTGTCAATAGCAGAAAAATAATGGTTGCAATAATCATTTTTAAATTTAACCACTCTGTCAATATTAACTCTATGTTTCTCACTAATTTCTCGATTGAATTATTTTCAAGCCCTGACACAAGAAATTCAGATGCGCTCAATAGTAAGCCTTCAACACCTGCTCCAACTACTAATACTGCACCTACACCTACAACTCTATCTACCCTTCACACCACTCTTTGTCGTTCTACCATGGCAAGTACTGACCCTCTTTGGCAGCAAGCTTTGTTAGAAGAACTTTAGGCTTTGGAGAAAACTCATACTTGAGACTTAGTAGATCTTCTTCCTCACAAGTCCCCTATTAGTTGTAAATGGATTTATAAAATCAAGACTCGTTCTGATGGGTCTATTGAGCGCTACAAAGCTCGCTTATTAGTCAAATGTTACACTCAAGAATATAAGATAGATTATGAAGAAACTTTTGCTCTGGTTGCTCGATTAACATCAGTCTGTAGTCTGTTAGCTGATGATGTAGTTCATAAATGGACCCTTCTCCAGATGGATGTCAAAATGTCTTCTTGTATGGTGACTTGTCAGACGAGGTGTATCTGCATCCCTCTAGTTATCACTCTCCTTATAAAATCTGTAAACTCCGAGTGTCTTATATGGATTAAAAAAAGTTCCTCGAGTCTGGTTTGTCAAATTTAGTTCTACTCTTACTCAATTTTGCTTTATCTCTAGTCCAAATGATTCAATATTATTCGTTCGTCGAACTAACCAGGGTATTGTACTTTTGCTACTTTATGTTGATGATATGATAATAACAGACAATGCCATATCTGATTTTTTCGAGGTACAACATTTTCTCAGACAATTTTTTAAAATGAAGGACCTTGACAATCTCAGTTATTTTTTGGGGTTTGAAGTTTTTCATAACTCTGAAGATTATTATCTTTCTCAAGCTAAGTATGCATTTGATCTACTCTCTCGAACGGGCATTACAGATAGTGAAACGATATCAACCCCCTTAGAATTTAATTGCAAACTTACTTCTCTCGATGACACTCCTCTTATGATCCTACCCTATATCGACAACTTGTGGGTAATCTTATTTATCTCACCGTTACTCGACCTGATATAGCATATGTTGTTCACTTATTCAGTTAGTTCATGTCTACCCCTCGCTCATCACACTTTTTTGCAGTTTTTTGGATACTTCGATATATTAACGATACTCTTTTTCATGGTCTACATTTTTCTGCACACTCATATTCGGTGTTATCTGACTACTCTAATGCTGATTAGGCAGGTGATCCCACAGATCGTCATTCTCCCACTACTTATTTCTTTTTCTTAGGAGAGTCTGTTATTGCTTGGCGTAGCAAGAAACAAGCAGTCGTTGCTCGTTCCAGCACAAAATTTGAGTATCATGCTCTAGCTTACGCAATATCTGAATTACTTTGGCTATGTAGATTGTTATCCTATATGAGTTCCAACAATCTTCATCTACCAGGCTTCATTATGGTAATAGAAGCGCTATACAAATCTCTCATAATGACGTTTTTCATGAACGTACTAAATATATTGATATTGATTGTCACTTTGTGTGTCATCATGTTACCCATGACACCATATTTTTAATTCACATCTCCTCTGCTAACCAAGCAGCTGATATCTTCACTAAAACTCATTCTCCAACAAGTTTTCAAAATTTGCTAAGCAAACTCAAGATGACATCCACTATACCATCATGAGCTTGAGGGGGGGAGGGGGGTGTTAACTTAATTACTGGAAATAAATAAATGATATTAATTGCCCTGATATGGTGTAATTGACACTGATTTCATATGCTGATGTCTAGGCCTAATTTCTGCTCTTGATTTACTTTCTTCCATATTCTAAATCTTAGAATATTTGTATAAATACCATCATTCTTTGTACAATCGAAGAACAAGAGAAGAAATACAATTTTCTTTTTCTTAATAGAAAAAAAATAAAAAAAATTTATTTTCTTACATCACTTTATAATTTTTATTATTTTAAAAATAATATGATAGTTAATTTCTTAAAAATTAATTTCTCTTAAGGACTCCACCACAACTTTATACCATCATTTATTGTTAAGTTGCTTTTAATAGAGTTGGTTGAGTGCCATTCTAGTCTGCAAAAAAAAAAAAATTAATAATTTAATATATAGATATTTTTAATTTATATACTAAAATAATTCACACCTACAACAAATTAAGCATTGATTTAAATAATTTATTGATTAATTTGATATTTTTATAAACTTTAAGATTAAAATGGTCTTATATATATATATAAATATTCATGACTATTTTGACATTCAAGGAAATATAAAATATCAAAATTATAGTGACATTTACATAGCATACAATTCCAATGTATTTACATATCCCACAACTAAATTTTCATATTTATACATACACTCTCAAATTCTTAATATCACATTAAAAATAGTTACTTAAAGAAATAAAATATATATTTTTTCTTATATAAGCTTTAAGCACCAAATATGAATTATGAAAGTTTATGGGTGGTGTGTGATAGATCTAATTGCCCCCAAATATAGGAATAATTACACACCTATCACCCGAAATATTGATATTTACCCAAACATAATAATTTTATTTTAATATATATAAATTTCAAGATATTACGTGTAATGTTTGTAAATTCTCATAATTTATTTCTGGTTTTTTCATGCTATATAAAGCCATTCCTTGAGCGCAGAGATCGGATGATAGGAATCGAGGGCTGAGGCTGAGGAGGTTCCGTGGGTCGGTCGGCTCCCGGAGTTTAGGCTGTTCTGGTTTCTATTTCTCTTCTCGAGCCTCCGTCAATTCTCTATCGACGAAAATTTCCTCTTAATCTTCTCTATTTGCTCCTAAAGGTATGATTTCTGTTGCTTTTTTTTGTCTTCTATAATTTGGTGGTGATATTCTATCATCGCTCTGCGCTGTCGTGATTTTCTAGGGTTTCTATTGAAATAGCTAATGTGTTTGATTTTTTGTATTTTCGGTCATGTTATTAGGGTTTCCGATTGTTATTCTTTATTTCCATTTCTAGGGTTTTTGCGTGCGTATCATGGCACCAGGGTCTTTTGTTGGCTATGGAAGCTACGATTCCGTTTGCAGTGAATTTGGCGTGGATGTATTGGGAAATAATTATCATTACCAGGGTCGATATCTTGAGGTGGATCGGCGGCGGAGCGACGGCGGGGATCTGCAAAAAGATGGAATGCGTAGAGACTACGTGACAAGAGAAAATCATCGTGTTATGAATGGTAGCAATGGAAACGTGCAGGTTTTGGGTTGCGTTTCAAAGAGGTTTATGGATCCTGAGCCTGGTGAGTTGTCCAGCGAAGACAGTTCTAAAATTGAAGATGGGGTTAGAGGATCGGTAGACAGGGATGAGGCTTCTTCGGGTAAGAAGAGGAAATTATCGCACATAAAGTGTGACATGGATGACCCAAAAAGCAGGCTTCTTAAGCGAAATACAAGAAACAAGGAATGTTCGCCGGTTGCTGTCCGATCACAATTTTCACTTCCGAACAACATTAAAAATTCTTTGTACTCGTTGTCCTCATTGGATCAGAAGCCTTCTATTGATTTTGTGCGCGGTTTGCAATTGGAGAATGGTGATTCTGGTGAACAGATGGAAGAAGATTATTTGCCAGCAAGCACTATCTCTTTGTCAAGATGGGCAGATACGAAGGGTTCTTTTGATGACGATGAAAGTGCTATTTCTGATGTTGATTTATTGCCCAACAGGAGAAAAAACATTCGTTTGGCTTCTGCACAATATGCGAGACTGGAGACTGGTGAAGACGCATTCAGGGAAGGTTCTGTATCTGATGGGTTAGGCCGAGAGACCTGTTTGAAGCCCATGGAAGATGAGATTGATAGTCTGGTTGTTTGTGGAAAGGACTCAAATGGAGAGGGAAGTGGTGGTTCATCAGAAGGTTGCAGGATTAGGACATTGGATTCCGTGAAACTGCGCTGTAGAAGGATAAACATGTTCCAAGGTTGCAGGACTGTAGATGATTTTGAGAAGCTTAACAAGATTAATGAAGGAACTTACGGAATTGTGTATAGAGCGAAGGACAAGAAAACTGGAGAGATTGTAGCTCTGAAGAAGGTAAAGATGGAGAAGGAGAGCGAGGGTTTCCCTTTAACATCCTTGAGGGAAATTAACATTTTGTCATCTCTTCACCACCCTTCCATTGTGGAAGTTAAAGAAGTTGTTGTGGGCAGGAATCTCGATGCTGTTTTTACAGTAATGGAGTACATGGATCATGATCTCAAAGGGCTGATAGATACAATGAAAAAACCATTCCATATAAGTGAAGTTAAATGTCTGATGGTGCAGCTATTTGCTGGTGTCAAGCATCTTCATGATAATTGGGTACTGCATAGGTAATCTTGTGCTTTGGTTTTCTTGTGCTATGCTTTAGTTTTCTGAAACTTCAAGTGTTGATCTAATTTCGAATCTGTTATCTCTGCTTTCTGCAGGGATCTGAAGACATCAAATCTTCTCTTCAACAACCATGGTGAGCTAAAGATATGTGACTTTGGTTTATCTCGTCAATATGGGAGTCCATTGAAGCCATATACTCAGTTGGTAGTGACTTTGTGGTACAGGTTGGTTTTATGCTTGCCTCCCTATTGAGCATTTCATTAAGTTGCATAATGTTCTAAGACTATGAAATTTTGCTTTCTTGTTTCTTAATTTGATTTAATTTGTGGTACACTTAGCTTTAACTTCCAACTGTAGGGCCCCGGAATTGCTGTTAGGAGCTAAGGAATATTCAACTGCAATAGATATGTGGTCGTTGGGTTGCATAATGGCTGAGCTCTTGACCAAGGAACCATTATTCCCTGGGAAGAGTGAACTTGATCAACTTGACAAGGTATGCTTTGTTTTTTTTTGCACTGCATTTTGTTTTAAATTCGATCAGTTTTTGTAAAAAAATTTCAACAGTTTTATAACTTTTTAGTTGTTCTATTGTAGATATTTAGAATTCTTGGAACTCCTGATGAGAAAATTTGGCCTGGATTCTCTAGATTGCCTGGTGCCAAAGTTAAATTTGTCAAGAAGCCGTAAGTTGTTTTTTTAGCTTTGCTAATAATGCAATTAAATTTCCACATAAAATTTGATTTTCCAGCACACTAGCATTTTTTTTCTTATGCTCGCTTGCCGTTGTCCCTTCTGAGATAACATTGAACTCTTTTTTTCTTCTAGTTTTAAGCTGCAGGAGAAATTTCCACGAATGTCTGCAGCATCATTTTTGGGTCGGCCATGTCTTTCTGCTACTGGATTTAACCTGCTTACTAAGCTTCTAGCTTATGATCCAGAGAAGGTGAGGTTATGATAGAATTTCTACTTTTTTTTCCATAGGTTCTCTTTCATGATATCCTTATGTTGCTTTAATTATAACATATATCTTCTATTATTGTCCCCTATTCTTTGCAGAGAATTACAGCTGAAGATGCCCTTAATCATCCTTGGTTTCATGAATCTCCCCTTCCAACAACAAAGGATTTTATGCCAAGATTTCCCGCTCAATATAGGCATGACAGGTATTTAGAGCCATTGATTCAAAAACAGCAGAAAACAAACTTGTCTATATCAAGTAGGCATTTTCTTCGTCATGACAACATGCTTTCAGGCATCGGCAAAGAATTATGAAGAGCCCAGATCCACTCTAAGGCGGAAGGATTCACATTAGTTAGATACCTTGACTCTTTAGAGAAGTGAGTAGTAATGGGTGACATAATCTAAATTCCAGTCATTACTGATTTACTTTAGGTGAGAGATTTGTATGTATTTGAAATGGGCATCGTGTTTATGTGAGCCAACGATTGATGGTGTTCTTTAGCAGGAACCCCAGATGAATTTGGGGCAATAAGATCCATTTATTTTCCTCAATGGAATCGTCTATTGCAGGATTATCTGGTCTTCAATGCTGGTGATGCCTTGAAAGTTTTTTTTGTGCAGCCTGGACTGCAAGGTGTGCCTTTATGACAAATTTAATATGAAAATTTCTGTACATATTTTGACTGATTATTTTTACATAATGTGCTCGAAAGCTGGTTTGTAACTTAGAAGTTTGTTGAATGCATTAATAAACATGTTTTGTTATGAGTTGTAATATTTGCTGCTTTCTTTGCAAGAGACAAATGGTGTTAAGAGATGAGAAAAGTTCTTTTCTTTCCAGAACTGAAGAAAACGGATGGTTTATCTTCACTAATTATCAAGGAAAGGTAATTTATTAATTAACATTCCTGATTTATGATGATTTTTGGGCATATTAAAAACTCTTATAGTTTGGAAGGAAATTAAGTTTTAGGGAGATTATAGGAATTACAAATTAAGATCATGCATGAGTGGTAAAAATGTGAAACTCTTATTGCAATTCTTTAAGGCAATTTAATTTTCCAGATGCATTTGTATTCACATCACTCTCCCTCGGGTGCGTTTCTTTTGCTGTAATTTCTGAGGCCAAGTATCTTGATTTATTTGTGATTTCCTGTTTTTTTAGGTACGTTCTATGTTGTCATTTGGTTTAATTGCATTTTCAAATTACACTAGCAAATCCTCTGAGGAGACGGGGGATCATTAACAGAAATTCTGTTCCAGTCATTTTGAATCAAATATCACTTTTTAACTATTTAAATGGAATTCAAATGCGTAAATTATTAAGCATCACAAAGATTTTTTTTCCAAACATTTTATCACAATCGACCAAAATAATGACTGAAGCACTAATCGAATGGTTAATGTTGAGATGTTATACTAAGATATTTATATTCACAGTACTCCCATTGTGATGAGGTGCTACAAAGGGAATTAGGTAACAAATATGCGGAAAACATTTGCTTGTCAACTTGCAGATTGCATTTGCATGCATTTCCTTGAAGTTAACATAAGAAGTAATCTTGAAATAACTTTAATGATCGGTGCATAAACATTCTAACTTTTATATGGTTAAATTTGGGCGCCAAACTTACAAGCTGCATTTGCATCTCATCTTTGTTACTGCTAAATATGACAGTTACTGAGTAGGTTGCTTTAAAAAGTTTGCAATCATGACATGGATCACTAACGATTGTCCTTTTTTGCCCATGAAGATGCCATCCAAAGTTCAGAAAGACTTATGGATCTCATAAAAGCTATCATGTCTATTTAAGAGATTAAAAAATAAGAATTTTTATTCGTCAAAATATCCAATTAATGGGTTTAATAAAGTTTGGAACTATTGTGTGAGCTTACAGAAGTGCATACATAGCAAGAAAATATGAATGCCTATTTCATCACCCTTCTTTGTTCTGGATTTCATATGTAGTCCCTGTTATCATTTGTTGGTTGAGTGCTTTTAAAACAAACAAATCTATTCTCTCATTTGATTTAGCGACCAAATTTGCAATAATCCTGAACTGTAAGAAGCTTATCTATTCTAAGGAATTTTATTTTCCACCTTTTAAACAGTGATTTTGAAATTCTGGTGTATTACTACATCTTTGTGACACGGATAACACAAGTTGCATTATAATATTTGCTCTTCTTGAGCTTTTATTTTGGTGTACAACTTCTTGAAATCTGCAAGGACTGCTTTAAAATTTTTCTATCAGGACTTGAAAAAGGTTAAAAATGATTTGGTTATTTCATCAAATTCCTATATATTAAATATGGTTACCCTCTGATTTTAGGGTGTTGGAATAAGAGTTGCTCATTCTATCGGTCGATTATTGTATACTAATGAAGCGAAACAGATTCCTTAATTCTGTTTACTAATATATATTATACCGATTATACTAATGAAGCGAAACAGATTCCTTAATTCTGTTTACTAATATATATTATACCGATTATACTAATGAAGCGAAACAGATTCCTTAATTCTGTTTACTAATATATATTATACCGATTCATATGGATGTATTTCCTCATGAATGTATATTTTTTTAAATTTGTTTTAACATAGGATTTGGTTAGGTTCAACACCCTTTCAATTTTATATGGGTTCCTTGTCAACAGCTAGAAATCCTCAAATATTTTCTATTGAACTTTATCATTGTCTTATTGTACTTTTCATGAGATAAAATGCTAAATTAGCCCTAAACAGGTGAACAAACTTGTCATTATAATAATTCGTCTGCATTACTATTCCTTTTTTTTTTTTTTCGACTCTCACTCTGTTGTTCTCATGAATCATGACTTATTTTGTGCAATTATTACTATTATTATTCTTAAAGGAAAATAAAGGGTTGTAGCTACACTATTTTGACTACGTGTACTCCAAATATGCTGTTTGGGCCAGTTTGCTTCGTTGTAGGTATCCATAAGTGAGTGAATCTCATTTTTAGAAGTCAAGCATTTTCTTTGTTGTAATTGGGTGAAAGTGGGTTCTCATACTTGAAGCTGAAGTGAGTTCAAGTCTTAGGGTTAGAAAGTCACCAGTTTTGCCTTCTCTTTTAAAATAATAATATAATAATGGTAAATTAATGGGGTAATGGTATAAATATTACTCTTACTTTTGTGGTAATAGGGCCATGAAAAGTGTAATTCGTAGATATGAAAAAATAGAATTAACTGCATGCCCAAACAAAGAAGAATTGATTTTGTAAGAAGTGACATCATACAAAATATCAAAACATACAAATTTAATCGGAACTCATTGCGGTTAACTTCCTAATCTGGAATCTAAATATTAGCAGTGAAAAAAGATGTGCCATTAGCCTAGTGATTGAGCTTTGGTATATGGTACTTTATGTTTGTGATAATTTGTCCAAAGAGTTAAATTAGTTGTATTGCTTGTGTGCATCTATTTCGTGATAGATCATTTGCAAATCATTAGCATTGTAGACTTCTAATTTCATGCCATGCGTGTTACTTGTCATTTGGTTGGGCCTTTGGGCATATTGCATTTCAGTGTGGTATGGTTCAATTCTTTCAAAGTGCAATCGTCTAGCTCTGTATTGATTCCCTTCTATGTTTTTCCATGCAACTACGAGTTAACATATTTTTTTTTTTTTATGCATTGTATTTTTGTGTTTTTCCTTATCACAAACTCTTGATCCTAACTTATTTTCTTTAAAATTTGTATTGATCCTAGTAATAGAAGAAACAATGAATCTTACCTTATTTTTTTATGTTGTAAATGATAATTATTTTTGGAGGAAATTTCTTGTGTAGCACTCGAAATTTGGCTATCTATTAAACTTGCCATATACCTCTTTGTATATTACTCCACCTAGATCTCAAAATGTGCAATGCCCAAATACATTTCACTCTTATTAAATTCTCAATACATATGTTGTGAGGGTAGTGTAGTTTTGTTAATAGTCAAATTTTGAGTGGCATGGACACAACTTTATCTTTTTTTAAATGAAATCCCAAAGGAATAAGCATCACTTATCATACGAACAGTAGATCATTAATTCATAATTGTGGTGTTTTAGATAGAAAGTTTCTGCTGGTTGTACTTTTTAATTCATTAAGTTGCAATTGGAACTTCTAATTGAGAAGTTTGATGGTTGATAGACATCTTAAATGCCTTGCACTAACAGGTTGAGCTATGCCTCTCATGTCACGGTTTGGAATATTCGCATGGTTATTTAGCTTATTTGATTTACCAAGGTGATAATTTTGTTACATATTGGATCTATTATGGCTTTCTCTCTTTTGCCTTGATTTATTGTTGAAATTTGTCAAATGGGAATGAAGAGTTCAGGGCGAGAAAGCTTATAAAATTTGAGTGTTGATTTTGGGTGGATAAAAATTATGAAGCCCTGGCTAGCAAAAAACGATATTTCACATCTTTGAAGTATCCAATTTGTGAAAATAAAATGGAAAAAAACTATTAATTAAAAGAAATTTGAGTGTTCATATTTTTTCTCCTCCTTATCTCTGTTGCAAAGTTGTTTACACCATCCTCTTCCTCTTCATAGTTGGTGACAACACTTGCTCTACAACATTTACTACCTCTCCATCTCCCCTGGTACTCCCTTGCGAAGTGCATATTTTATAGCAGTTGCTTTACAACCTCTGCTACCTCCCAGTATCCCCTTAAGTTATTTGAAGTCTTGCTCTATAGTCTCTGCTACCTCCTTTTTTCCTCTTATTTCCTTTCAAAGCATTGATCTGGAGTAGCAATCTTTTTCTTCTCTTTTTTTTATTTTTATTTTTTTGGCAATAGTTTTTGGCGGCCATGGATGCTATTATTATCTGTGAGTTATTAATGGAGGAGATGTAAATTTTGATGGTGTTAATAAATTTGAATGGTGAGCAAGTAGTGAAATTTGAATGTTAAATATGTAAATGTGGATAAATTTAGTGGCCTGCATATAAATCTACCTACTTTTCATTAATCCATTCTACTTCTTCATTGCTAATGAATTAATTTCATTATTTGGCGGAGTTACAAATTGTTTTTGGCAACCATGTTGATGCCTGGACTGATACTGCAGTTATAAAGATGGCAGGTTTTGAAGTGCCATTTCAAAGAAAGATTACTTGGGAAGCATTAAAAGCTGTTAATTGGGACATTTGGAAATTTTTTGTGTTTAATGGAGGTACGATCTTCTTTAGTTTGAATACTTATGGTAAGTGATCAAATGATTTTTGCGTTTGCAAATCATTTGCTTCTTATCGAAATTTGTACTTTGGTCAAAGCAGTGAAGAAAAAAATTACAACTTTCTTTTCATTTAATTTTTTTTAATGCTACTATTAGTTTATTCTTCATAGTTTTGCCAATTGCTCTGATGCTCCATTTCACTTCATGGTTGTTTGAACAACAGTGATAGATGCTTTCTGAAGCTTTTTAATCTGCATTTTACGCTATGCGGCTTACTTTTATTTAGAAATGGCTGTATGCCATCTTACATACTTTTAGTTTTTAATGTTATATGCATTTCATATTCTTATTTATTTTTTTGGATCTTGGAATTGTGGGGTTACTTGTTATGTCAGGAGAAGCAAAGCACAGTATCTTGAATGCATATGCATTCACGTTGGTGCCTGCATCTGCATATCGTGAATACTCGGTAGTTGAAACATCTACTTATGATTTCATTTAGCTTTCTAGATTGCTTACTCTATCTACTAACTTAATTTTTCACATCTTCCTCATTCTGCTATTATCCTGACCATGCATTTAACAACGCGAAGGGGTGGAAGACAGGACACATTGGAGGCACACGTAAAATAGCATGAATCAAAGTGAACAAGGATTGTAAGAGATAAGTAAAATCGTAGTCAGGTGTTATTCATGCTCATCTTTCATGTTTTGCTTGTCCCAAATAAAATTATTTCGAATTTCAGAGATGCTGAATGTTATATTTATCTAAATGTGTTAATTATATCATTTGAATGTGTCAATTATATAATTTCGAGTGGACTAGGTTGTTTGCGGACTTTTGCATGGTTTTATTTAAGCATTGATAAATGCCATTTTAAAAACAAGGACCAGCACTTTATCAAAGTGCAAGCATCTAAACACCGCATTCGTTGTGATGAATTCAAAAGCTGCGCTCTTCTCATTTTCAATTTAATGCTTTTGGCTGAAGGAGAGATATAATTGCCTTTTTTTTTCAAGTTGTTACTTAGATGTATTGCATAAGCATGATGTTAATCCAAAATTGAAATGCTATTACACTTATACAAAAAATTGTAGTATTTCTTTTTTGCAACTTAGTCATATAATGTTCTCTTATTTTAACATCTTTGTCTTTTTTTTTTCATTTTTGTACTTGAAGAACTCTGGGTTCAGGGCAATATGGTCTAGGGTATCCTGATACAGTTCAATGACGAGAGTCATAAAATCATGCACGGAATGTCAAATTCACTATGACAAACATCTAATGCTAACTTTTGCCACTTCAGATGAAAAATAAAGAAATACACGAAATCATCACAAATGATAGCTTAATATTTGCCTAATATAGATCTTGCATGGAAGCTGATCTTATCAGTATACTGTTGCAAAGAAAGGAAATTGTGAATTATGGTCTCCAGGTTAACATTCAAAATGAAAATCAATGTAAAATCAAAAGTATAATATACAGTAGATTGCTTTTACATCCGTAAGAGTTCTCATATTTATAATCAAAGTGAAAATCTACTTAAATGCTAATCTTATCCTTTAGCCTTGCAAATCTACTTGAATTGCTTGCACATTTACATCCACTTACTCGGCTACAATCAAATGGAATAAATAAACTATTGTCCTCTTCTTTTTTGTGGTTCGTCTCATCTTTGTGAGCTTGAATTGATCATTGACAGAAGTATGCTGCGCTAGCTGATCAGCCACATGCAAATGTTTTCTGCATATTTTTCTCCCCAGTTCTAGACTGCAAATGAGTCTTTGTTTTATTTGATTTGAAGAACCTTGTTAGACTGCATAAATTTGGCTTGTATTAACCCTACAGTCTGACTTTGGTTTCTTAAATAGGCATGACCTTTGGGCATTCTTTCCATCAGCAACTGCATTGGTTAGATCGTGCTTACATTAATTTTTTTTTATATATTTTTTGGGCTAATGTCTTTTCAATTATATTGTGGAGGCTGAAACTCTTTTGTTACATCTGTCATTTTGTTCACCATAATACTGGATGAAGGATGACTTATGTTGATGAGCACAAATTTGTTGCCGAACCACCACAATTTGTAACAATTTACTGACGATCAGATAGTTTGGTGGTCAATATTACGTGTGTGCATTCATAACTCTCTGCTTTTGCCATTATGGGTTCCCTCCACTTTTGTGGAGTTTTTGTGAGGAGCAACGTCAAATTTCTAAGGCAGCTTGAGAAATGTTCTAAAAAAATTCCTAATTGCCCAGCGGTAACAACCGGGGTTCTGTTGTTTTTACTGATTGGGATTTAGCATTTATGATTTTTGTTAACAGCGCTATGCAGGACAGAATGCATGCACTATTTTGGTTGTTTTGCTGATTGACAGACAAATGCTCAATTTTTAGTTAGAAGGCATTTGCACCACACAAAGTTAGACGTAGGAACCTCTCACAGCTGCTTTGCACCACACAAAGTTAGCGTAGGAACCTCTCACAGCTGCTTGTTTTCTCACAGAATGTCATTAGAAAAAAATCATCTTTGACTATGGTAATAATTTTTTGGAAGATTTACATACATGCAATCCAATTCCTATAGTTTTTTTTTTTTTTTTTTTTTTTTTTTTTTGAGGATTGAACTAAGGGTAGACCCCCCCAACGAATCCCATGTGCAAATTTGAATCCCGTTTGGTCGAGAATTTGAACCCGGTTCGAGAGGACTTTCGCAGAGCACCACCAACTCACCTACACTCGACGCACTCATATGTATTTACATATCTAACACCTAAACCATAATTTTTGAGAATATCCTCTCAGATTCATATATATATATATATATATATATATATAGTTGAAAATAAAATGTTGATCTTTTTTATGTCACATGAATGATTTGGATGATATGAATTTAGAAAACAAAGTTTTGGTGTTAGATATGTAAATACATGAGAATTGGGCGGTACATTTATAAAAGCCCCTAATTTTTTTATGGAGTTGATTTGTACTAATGCTTCTGGTTTTTCCGTGATAACAGGACATATGACACTGTTTCAGTTTCACGTATGACTTGTGAGTAAAAATTTTATCCAGGATTTTTGTTATCTTGCTGAAATCATATTTTTCATTTTACTTTTTTAACCATTATGTCATTGAAGCCTTGTTAGTGACATTGTCAATATTTCAAATTGTAAATCGAACTGTTCTTTTTCATTATGGATTTATAATCATTATTTTTGTTTTATGGAGAAAATTTTGTAATAAGAGATGAGCGCAAGACCCATACATACAATCGCAGCTGACTAATTATATCACTGAAGAATCTTTTCTTATTTTAATAGATTAGGCATGCTTATGGTGCATAATCACCGCTGCTTCCTGAAACATGGAGACATTTGATGTTGTAAAATTATACCGTATTATAGTTATGCAATTATACTGTTGCGCCATTTTGTATTAAATAGTTTTTTTAGGCTTTAGAAACTGTTGTAGAATTATAAAGAAAAAAGAATCTTCCTGGTTTTATATTGTGTTGTTAATAATTTTACTTCCTATATTTAATTTTGTCATAATCATTTATTTTTTTTCAAACTGTAGTTTGTTTTTATTTTAATGTAGGAGATTTTTTTATTTCACTTTTATGCAAGCTCTCCACCAGTGTAAACCGGCTTATTACTTCCAGATTAACATTAGTATTGCAATTTATTTGTTACCATTTTGAGTATTATTATTGCTGTTTTTTTTATTTTTGTGTTGGAAAATTTTGATTGTGAAGGTGAAAGACAAATTGGCTATTTTTTAGTTCATATGATGCTTGGTTGCTTGATGTTCATCTTCTTGTCATAGTGTTTTAGCGTAGTTATTTTTAACTTTAAATTAAGCTCCCGTGCAGCTTAAAAGACCATAACGCCGCTGCTCATGTCACAACTCTTTTACACGTTAGCACTGCAATATTGGAGATCATCATAGCTAGCCTTCTTTATGTTTTGAATTGGAGTTTTAATGTTTTTAGTTGCAAGAAGTTTGCAGAAAGGGATCTAAATACCAGATCGGATTGCAAATCAGCATGATCAAGATTATTTTTTTGCCTTGTAGGTATACACTTAATATGTTTGATGTTTTTATTCATCGCTTGTCAAAAGACAGTATCTTGATAATAGCCATTCTTTGAAGGTGCAAGCTAGCATTTATTTCCGTGCTATTTTTACTCATCAATTTCGACACAAAGATGGGCGCTTGAAAGCCTCGATTTGTTTGTTGCAGAAACATTAACTTTGATGGGTTTGCTAAAGATTTTTCTAATAAAAAGAGGGCTTATAGCTGATAAAATGTAGTCATGATGAAGCTATACATGTTTTTTTATAAACCACTTGGTTCTAATATTTGATGAATTTTTGGTAATTTTGATGAGATGGCTGGAAATAAAATAAAGAATTTCAAACATCACATTCCTAAAATTGAATTTGGAATTATATTCAAAAAATATTTAAAGTTGATGTGTTCTAGATATTATTTATTTTATTAGTGAATATATTTATATAATATCTTTATAATATGATTTATATTATACAAAAATAAATTTTAATGTTTATTATGTCTTGTGGTTCAAGTTGTCTAAATCTTCCAACATGTAATTTATAAGAAATGCGATCACCATTTATGATATTTTAAATATGAGCATTCTAGGAAAGAAATCTACTACAATTTATCTAAACTAAAGTGTAGGAAAAGCGCTACTACGATTGCCAAATTTAATTCAGCCACAAGGAATCTGTGCAAAATAAAACTAGACGAGATTACTTGTGCAAACTGTCACTTTATTATGAATAATAGTATAATCTTACAATTGTTTAGCAATCTAAGTTAATCATAAAAAAATAGCTCACATCTTATACAATAATTAGGAATCTAATAAAAGAATAATGTTCATAACCATGAAGGGAATGTTTATCCTCTGATAAATAATAATTAATTATCTGTAACCGAGGGATACAAAAGTCCTAATTAAATAATTCAATATGGTAGATCCTACTTGAAGACCATACACAAAATGAACTCTTGATTGTTGTCAAGCATGCAAATCAAGGAATTAAAACTAATTGGTTATTAAAAATAACTAATTTGACTATACTTAACCGAAATAATTAATATCATTGTTATTATAATAATAGTAATAATAATAGATGTAAGTGAATCAAACCTGACGTTTCTCAAACTAGAATTTTCTACAGTATGGACAACATCAAACTAATCTATAGATAAAATTTTAATTAAATGAGCATAAATCAAATCTAATTTAATTTATAGTTTAGTAGGGCAAGGTAAGAGATGATAACATTAAATAATATATGCATATATTTAAATATATTTATTTTAGGTGTATAAGGGGAAGGGACATAGAGAAGAAGAAGAACCTTATTGTCATGGGTGGCTGTCAGTCGAGCATGATATAGGGGGCCAGTTGCTGGCGCTTTGAGGAAAAGAGGGCCGGTGGTTGCCACTGGGCAAAGTGGCAAAAATGGGCTGCAGCTTTGGCTTTTGAAAGAGGAAGGGAGAAGGAGAAAGACATGTTTGACAGCTGCAGAGGAGGGGTTGTGATGCCATAGGCTCTTTCATCCTTGAATAACAAAGGGAGGCGGTGTATTAGTCGTTGTTGAGCATGGGAAGGCTTGATTTGGAAAACAGTAGACAGTAGAGGGGAATAAGAAAGAAAAGGAAAAGAAAAAATCAGTGACTACACAGGGGAAGGAGGTGAGCACATCTGTAATTGCGCCTACTCGTTTGTATCACGGGAGGAAATCAAGTGATTTCCACTCAGTTTATTACACTTGAGATGAAACCCTTGGGATTGTTTGAATAAAAGTTCTCCTTTTCTACTAATTTGTTAAGCATAGATTGTAAATTAATTAGCTCAACTTTTCATGTATACCATGTATAGACAATATAGTGTACCACACACTACTGTATTGATTGAGCTGGTTAATTTACATTGATATTGTGGAGGCAATTTGAGATGCTATGGAATTAACTTAACTTCAATGTGACATTTTACCACAAACTAATGAATAATATGAAGTTATGAACACACAATTCAAATCTTTAAAGATGTGCTTTGAATGGACCTGTTTGATCTTGGTAATAGTTTGGAGTGACACGTACCCTTAAATAAAGTTTGAATGCAATATTGGTCATTAAGTTAGCATTGTCATGACAATATACGAACAGCACTGTATGGGGTGTTAGGTCACCCTTGTGTTGGATGGAATCCTGAGAAAAGATTGAATTTCAACAACTGTCAAAAGAGACTACCTAGAAGGTATCAAAGCTATTTAGGGAATGCTACAAACAACACAAGATTGCTAGAGGAATTGTTAAAACCCAGAACTTAAAGGAGGTCATCTTATGACACTTGGCTTTCCCGGTGTCAGCTCATTGGAAGGATTCAAATGATTCCTATATATTGGAAAGCTGAAGCTATTATAATTTGGGCCATTCAAGATTCTTGGCTCCATTAGTTTATATTTTATTATTGGTTGTCTTTTAGAGCTCGCTGGTGTACATAATATTTTTCATAATTTTTACCTGAAATGTTGTGCTAGGTTTGAAATGATCCAAACAAGATGAAGATTCATCCCAACATAGTTTTTTAGAACGGCCCGGGCAAATGTTTTCGTGAGAACATCAGTAATTAATTATGTATTAAATAGATCACAATGTTTAATGTTGTCTAAAATAATCAAAAAGAGAAGAAAGATGTGAAGTGTCCAATTTTCTTCCAGGATGTAAACATGAATTCTGAGATTATAATTATTTTTAGAAGTTAGAGGGTAGTACTCTTGAGTGTATTTTATTCTTTTAAGGAGGTCATATGACCACCTAAGTTTATTTACTTAGCATTAATCCTGCAAATTGGAATTGAAATTAGTTAGTATGTTAATATTTGGTAGATTAATATATAGGTAGACTCTTTTTGAACAATTGAAATTCAGCTTTTGAATTTAGAGCAATTTGGTTAATATATTGCTAGATTGATTACCGAGAGCTTTTTAGGTTGACTCGAATTTTGAACTTTGAGGACTTCAGATTGTGTCGAGTGGATTTCATTTCCCAACAACTGATCTCAGGAAGTTCTTATGTTTCACTGGTAGTAATGGTGATCAGTTAATCGATTGTTTGTATATATTTCCATGCATTGAGTTGTGTTGATAGAAAGGTATATATTTCCATGAATTCAGCTTACTAGAACTAATAATTCATAAAACCTTTGATGAAACAAGGCGGTGTCATTACCATTTTGGTTGTAGCTTAACAATGTCTCACAAAACGTTGAGTGGGAGAAAGATGACTCATGAGAGTGTCATTGAAAATGCTATTGAATGATGATTGTTTTGATTGCCTCAATTGATGACGCCACGTTCCTCTATATAAGTTGAAGAAGAAATTAGAATAAGCTTTTACTATACAAACCTCAAGAAGAATAAAGTGCACAAAAAGAGTTTTTGGGCTTCTAGAGGAGGAGGCCATGGAGCTAGAGCAAGAGGAAAGGTTAAACCAGCAATCTAAATACTTCACGTGTTAAATCTTTTGTCAATATGTTGAAAATTTTCACTAAGATGTCTTACAGTTGGTTAAAATCTCCAGGCGGCTTCTTGTTGTAGGGCTGGGGTTGATTTTAAGAGGGAGACACTCAGGAAATGTATAATTGAGTGGTTCTCGAGAAATTGTTAGATTAAGTTGCGTTGATGGTTAGTAAATCCTGGATTTCATTGAGTAGTTCCTTTCTTTTCATTCACTGAAG